GCATCATTATTTATGAGACATTGCTATTTGTTCTTTGGTATGAAAAACTAAAGTCTAGGATGGACGACATTGAATTTAGGGGGAAAAATCTGAGGCCCTACAAAGTAATGGTCCTTGGTTGATCTGTTGGGGAAATCTCATTCAGGAAGTCAGAGAGAGCGATAGAATCTTCTATCATTTCCACTCATCACAAGCATCAATACGGGACAGAAAAGTTGCAGACACTTTAACAATGTCATAAAGAAATCAGTTCTTTATGTTATATTTTGAAAATTACTGTTTTGACTATTGAGGGCCATTTGTGGCGCAATTACTAGGCAGGCAGAAATGACCTGTAATGAATTTCTTTGGAGTTTAATTGTGGGGAGATCAGAGTATTACTTTACCATCAAGCTAGCTGGAGCTGAGAAGATTCCTCAGTGGGGGATTAAATATTCTTAATTTTACGAGGACTGTCATTGCTTTACCCACGTTGGTATTTTAAGTGGCACATAAAGAAATGACAAAATGATCACAACTATAAATCAGGCCCATGGGCCACAACACTTACCAGAAACTCACCTGAGACTCTTATCATCCTTCATCTTGGTTTCAAGGGCTGAGACTTGAGTAACACAGGGTTAATATTACTTGTGTATTAGCCTTTATTATAATTAGGCTGCAGTGCTCTCTACTAGAATATTTTTATGAAATCCTTTTAGAACTTTTGGTCCCACCAATTCCAAGGGGCCATAATTTGAAAAATAGAAAATTGAATTTATACAACAGAGTCAATCTGACCAATTGTAGCCCTGTTGTTCTGAAATAAGTAATAACTTCTTCAAAGATACAGTCGTATTCTGTGTAAACTCTTCACCCCTTGCCTTGACTCTATGCCACCCAAAAGGAAAAAGGTGGGGGGGGGGGGATTTGAAGATTTGAACACTACACACATCTGCACTATATAAGAATGCTTTCATATCTATCAGACTTACTGTTGTGCTGTTGTTCTTGACAAGACATTTTATAATGGTTTTTTGTCTTTATATTCTTATGACCCCTCTCTCTCTCTCTCTCCCCCCCCCCTCCCCCTTTATTATAATTTTCCAGGATGCTTCAATATTAATATGAACTAGTTGTAGCCCAGCTATTCTGGAGAAAGATTTTAAAAGTTTTGTTCAGTTTAATCTTAAAGGGGCTTAGACACAGATTTGAAGTTAATATTTCCTCAAATTTTCTGTATAATATATCATAACTTACATGTTACCATAGCATTTCACACAAAAATATAATTAAAAACTTATTGAACACACCAGGGGAAGTGTAAACATTAACAATAACAGAGTTCGTGCCCTTTTTACAAAAATAGTTTACGTTTCCAAGTGTGTGTTCAATTTGTTAAACTCTGCACACCTTACTGGGCATGGACTGACAATACTGGTGAATTAATTGGTTTTGCTTTCTCGCATTTCTACTCCAAATTTTCTGGATTATAGTTTTAATACTTTTCATTGATACACAAAAAATTTCTACTTTTCCTAAGTATTAAGGATAAAGTTTAGTTTTGTGAAAATGCAAGGATGTGTCAATCAAATGCGTCCCAAAATTTGTAGTTTTAATAATTTCCAGATAAGATAAGTTTTTTATTATATTTTCGTGTGAAATGCTATAGTAACATATAAGTCATGATATTATACAGAAAATTTGAGAAAATATTAACTTCAATTCTGTGTCCAAGCCCTTTAAGGAAATAACTGTCATTAATTTTATAGATGCTTAATTTAAATCATCAAACAACTGCATCCTTTTTCCATAGAGAGTTAACAATGCCATTCTGTTCAGTGTATTGAAGTTGAGGTTGATCATTAAAGTGATATCTGTAATCTGTAGAAAAGTATTTTGACATTATTCATTGACAAGTGAAACAAAAACATCCTGATTAATGTGGTGAAAAGTAATGAAAGAAAGGAATATTGAATTATAAGTGTATACAAGTATTTTACTGATTACAGTATTGGAACTTTAATACATGTACATTGTATTCCTTAATACTGAAAGCAAGTTAAATCGAGTCCATTAATGTTCTGGCAATTTCAAGTTAAAGTTTTTTAAAAGTAAGTAAAAAATCAAGGTCAAGGTCAAAGTTGTTGGTATCCAAAGGAAGGTTTTGCTCTAGGATTACATATGTGAAGTATGATAGCCCTAGCACCAACCATTCAGAAGTTATGGCCAAGGTTAAAGTTTTTCAAAAGTAGGTCAAACTCCTAGGTCAAGGTCAAAGGGTCAAAGAGGTTGGTATCCAAAGGAAGGTCTTGTCACAAGGATTACATATGTGAAGTATGATAGCCCTAGCACCAACAACTCAGAAGTTATGGCCAAGTTTAAATTTTTTCAAAAGTAGGTCAAACTCCAAGGTCAAGGTCAAAAGGGCACAGTTGTTGGTATCCAGAGGAAGGTCTTGTCACAAAGAATACACATGTGAAGTTTGAAACTCCAAGCACCAACTGTTCAAAAGTTATGGCCAAGTTTAAATTTTTTCAAAAGTAGGTCAAACTCCAAGGTCAAGGTCAAAAGGTCAAAGCTGTTGGTATCCAAAGGAAGACCTTGTCACAAAGAGTACACATGTGAAGTTTGAAAACCCAAGCACCAACTGTTAAGAAGTTATGGCCAAGGTTAAAGTCTCATATAATTTTGCAAAAGTGGGTCAAACTCCAAGGTCAGAGGTCAAATATGATGGTACCCAAAAAAAGGTCTTGTCACAAGGAGTACACATGTAAAATATGATAGTCATAGCTCCAACCAATCAAAAGTTATGGGCAAGGATAAAGTTGACAACAGACAGACAGACAGGACAAAAACAATATACCCCAGGGATCTTTTGATCCGGGGGCATAAAAATACCCATAAGGAATATTTCTTATTGGACAGTGCAAATGAAAAAATAATAATTAAAAAAAATTACTCATCAGGAATGTTTCTTATTGGACAGTGCAAATGAATAAATAATTTTCAAAAAAATTACTCATAAGGAATGTTTCTTAATAGACAGTGCAACATTAAATAATAAATTTACAACAACCAAAAAAAAAAAAATACCTGGCAAATAATTGATTCTGAATTTGAATTTTTTTCCCATAGTTACATTTTTTTTTAATCAAATGTGACCTATATATGGCTGATTGTTTAGTAGGAGGGTTGTATTTAATCATTCTAGAAGACAATGACATTCTAGAAGACAATGACATATGTCTAGTCTTTCTACAACATCTGCTCCCTTAAACAGAAACACACAAATTATCATCAGTTTTTCCAAGATTTTTTGCTACATTGATTAATAAGCAAAATGTAGAGCAAAGTCCTTTATATGAACTTCTGAAAAGTACCTCCTTTCTGATAGTAGGAATCTCTGTTTGAAGTTGATAAGTTGCTATTCTTGCTGGGTTTCCAGTGGGAGAATTGTGTATCTTGATGTAGTTTGATCCTATATGGGTATCAGATTTGATTCCAATCACAGCATGAAGAGGTCTACTACAGTGCAGGAAACTAATTTTGTTACAGCATCAATGCTGATTTTAATGCTTCCTTTGCTTGCTGATTTGAATGCTTCCTTTGCTTGCTGATTTAATGCTAGTAATCCTTATCCTGATGCTGTTTTATAATTAGGTCAATGCTGCCGAAAGTAGCATCATGCTACCGGAAGTAGATAATGAATTTCAGCATTGCCGTTTAAAGCAATAAAAGTGCCTTTTACAATTATTTGATCATAATATCTCACTATGTATCAATTATGTGAATACTTTAACAAATATTCTTTCTTTCTTTTTTAATTTTTTACTGAATTAAAACTCATTGATTTTCTGATGCTAGTAGGATAATGCTGATTTTATGTAGGTCAATGCTGGTTTTATCCTTTGCTTGCTGATGCTGATCCTGGTAATGCTGTTTTTTAAATGCTGATGCTGATGCTAGCTCTATCCTGATGCTACTAATGCTTATGCTGATGCTGGTTTATGTAACAAAATTAGTTCCCTGCACTGTATTACAAGAGAGCCCATTCTTCAGCATAATTATAGCTCACCAAATTCTAGAACCTGAGCCCTGATTCCAAGAAACATGAAATATGTGGGTATCGATGCTCTTCATTCATTCATATATAATTATATATATATATATGTATATATATATATATATATATATATATATATATATATATATATATATATATATATATATATATATATATATATATATATTGTACTAGATGCCATGAGTAAAGTTGGAAATTTTTCAAAGAATACGTTAATTTTGCATAATTTGGACCCATCACTTTAATGAATTGAGTCACAGTGAATTGACTTCCATACTTTGGTCCCCCCCCCCCCCCCCTTGAAGACAATGTGTACAAGAATTGGTTTGTTTTGATTCAGTGGTCTCAAAGATTAAGCTGTTAACATTCAAAAGTTCAAAGGACAAAAGGTGACCATGGTAATTTCACACTTTTTCCTTCTTTTTAATCATTAAGAATTCCTAATCCATTGCCCAAAACAAATCAGTCAAGAAAGGAAGCAATAAATTTAGCACATAATTATACCTTAATCATTCAAGCTTGGAAGGAAACTCAAGACAACTGACTTCAGAACTCTAACAGAAACAATTTGACCAAACGGAAAAGATCAAATCAAGCAAAAATAACTAGTGATATATTAATTGTTCTTGAATTAATTCTTGGGTCTTAGCAAGGAGCACATTTTCCATATATGCTGAACAGATTTTTGATGTTTTGAGAGAAAACTTAGAAAAAACTAATTATTGATCGTAATTTGTAATAAAATTGCATTTGCTATAAGCATCTTTGTTATAATCATGTTTTATTATAAGCAATTAATTGATGACATATTACACGCAATATAATATATTAATTTGGAGTGTGTCACCTGTTAAGAAGATTTAGCAAAGTGGTCAGTCAAGAATTTTTTGATACACTTGTGTAGATACATGTAAAGTGTCTGAATCTTTTGTAGGTTTGTGATGTTGATCCGGAAACAGACACTCGATGGAAATCTCTCAAGACCCACATGGAAACAGACGGGGTGCACTACAATGACAAATTCTCACCAAACAATCCCTCAAGAGGTCAGAACAGAAAATTACTTACCTTGTTACTGCATGTAAGAATTTTTTTTTTGGCTCCAGCTTCTATTCAAATAATTAAAGGAACAGAAAAATTAGATATTTTAAAATGGCATGAAAACCGTTGTTGCTACAATAGTTGGCAACTAGCAAAAAATTGTTGCTGAAGCATTGTGTTGGACAATTATGATAGAAAAGTTTTAACATCAGTAGTCCATAAATATTCTGGAAATATTTTTTTTTACGAAACTGGTTTATAAATTTATAAAAAGGCTGCCAATCCAGTTTGAAAATTAGTTGTAACACTGTATACCGTATTACAGTGAATGGTTTTTGCATTTTTGCCAGTTATCACCTGGTTTCTTTAGTTAAAAGATTTGGAAAACAATGTGTTAAAAATTAAGACTAGAAAAATATGTTGCTTCCAAAAATTGTAGTGCTTTAGCAGAAATGTAAGGTTATGATGTGAAGGGTTGATTATAAATAACTTATGAAATGTATAAAAAGAAATCCAGATGTCACTGTTCATGTAACGGAATCACTGATAAAATAATCAGTCTTAATGGGCCACTGGCGAAATGTTGACTTTTCTATCAGCTTCCTGAAACAAAGCAATTACAGAGGTGTTCTTTGAAAAAAAGGCAGAAATTGGGAGTGGGAATGCCATATATTACGTAGGATTGTTATTTTTCCAAATTTAGAGGAATGTGCATTCGAGACTTTTTTCTATTGTAATTGTGTCTTCAGAGACAAATAATTGAGAAAATAAATTGCAACATTTTTTTCTTAGCCCAAATCATTGCAAGGAAAGGTTTGTTTTTGCTTTCTGTATTCAGCCTTGAAATAATTTTTGGTCAGGTGTTTGAACAGTTGTAATTGGTCCAGGAAATTATAGAGAAAAAAGAATTGGAAAGTCCGAAAGATTACAACAATATTTGAGGGAGATTGTGTACTTGTCTGGAAGGTATCTAAAATACCAGTACATATATAGATAAATTATAGTGACAGTTTAGGAAAATAGTATGTGCTTTGGTACAAGGGATAGGTTATTAAAAATACAGGTAGAAATGGAAGTTTCAGTAGTTTGATGTGTTTAAAGGAAATTGTGTTGATGGATATGTGTGATTTTTGATGCCATCAGGTTTATTCTTCAGTGGCAGTTAAAATTTCATTTTTAAGTTAAAAATCATGATTTTATTGTACTGTTTATGGGTCATTCTCAAAAAATGTCCAGATTTCAGTGAAACAAGTTTTCTGGTAAATATTTTAATAAAATAAAAACTCTTTTGTGCTCATGAACTTAACAATGGTCTAAAATTGGGAGGACAAATATAAGTAGGATTAAAAATTGATATAAACACTGAAAAAAATCCTTCAGCATGAGTTAAATTAAAGAAAATTGCTTGTGATTTCGCCGAGGGTGTATTTTCAACCCTCCTTATTGAGACAGTAAATATAATTTGGGAGTATAAAATACCTTTAATGTATTGTAAATACTTAACATTGTTTAAAAACATGGTAAAAGGTGACTGAAAAAAGTAAGAATATAATTTTTTAAACAATAAACGTTAAAAAAAACTTTGTGATTTTCGCCGTGTCCTTGGAGTAACCAAGACATAAAAGTTATCTGTAACAGTTATTTTTCCTGAAGGAACTCTTCAGCATCAGCTGCCTTCTAAACATCTTCTACCCGCCAAAATATAAAAAGACACAAAATACGTGTGTTTCACCCTGTAGACACAATATCTAGTTTCAGTTGAGTCTGGTTGAAAGAGTAATTTATTTTTAAGTCCTTGGAGTTACTTAAATAATGTGAAGATAAATTAATCTATAATGTTTGTGATGCATTGAGTGACTTTGTAGTGAAATACACATGATGTAGGAGCTGTGCTCTATCTTTTTAAGTCAGCTATAGCTTTTATACTTGTAACTTTTGATGTAGTAATTCCCTGGCGTTACTGTCCATTTTGTTACTGTAGGAAAAGTTACTCCAAGGACGTTTTTAATTACTCTATGGACAATCTATACAGAATTTAATTAAAAAGAATGCAATTTCAATTCATCTGTTTTATCTCCCTCCTATTTTTAAATACTGACTTGTAGTGTAATTGACTTAAATACCAAATTATTTCCTAAATGCTTTTTACAATTTGACAATTTGATGATTGTGCAGTCTTGGTATTGCACGGGACAAAATTGGGTAACACCAATGACTTATTTAAACTAACTTTGAAATTTACATTTTGAAAATAAAATATAATGTGTAAAGTTTATCAAAAATAATATATCAGTAATATTTGTATCATCTGATCATATGTTTTACATATAATGTTTCATACATGCTACAAATTAATTCAATAATCGATACAAGTAACACAAAGGACAAATTTGGTAACTCCATGGACGTCAAAATGATGAAACATTTACATTATAAATATACTCTTGTATTTACACTTGTTTCAGCAGTAGAGTAGAGAGTCTTTATTTATTTCGAGTAAAATGAAATATCAAAATGTCTTATGAAATACATCTTTACGCCCTTTTAACCTTGTAATACTTAGCTGTGGTAACATTATAGACAAATTCAGTTACTCAAGGGACACGGCAAGCATTTAAGATAGAAAAATGAAATAAAAATATCACATATGAAGTCGTAATTGTGTTCAATGTATAAAAGAAAATAATTGTGGAGAGATGGTACAATTTAAGTTACATTAAAAATAATGAAGGCCTTAAAAATGAGATGATTAAAGTGGTAACTCCAGGGAAGGTTAGGAACACAATGGAATGTGAAGTAAGAAACCACGATTTTATGACAGATGACATGTTTTTACTCTGAAGCCTGTTGATTCTATGTCATGTTCTCTCGATGAAAATATTGGAAGGACGAAACATTTCAAAAGTTGTAAAAAAGAGGGCCAGACAAGTGAAATCTAGATCCAAGGAACCTTCAAAGTAACGTCAGATAGAGAACATTTGACTTTTTTGGAATGTGTATGTCAGACAATGAAATAGTTTCGGATTTTTCTTCACTATATCAAAAGCGATATCAAAAGATTATCTTACCGAGGAACAACGCATCAGTCACCAATCATGAATTTATGTTTGAATGTAGATGAAGATACTCTTCATGCAGATTTGTCTAATTAATTTTCCCCATAAAGGTTGAAAATTGTTTGTAAACCTTGCACTATAGAAGTATATTAAAGCTTTTGGAAATGAAGTTAGAGCAGCTGAAGTAAGAGTGGACATTACAGTAGAGGCAGTACTTTATATGGATCTCTATCTTTTGAACCCAGCATATCTTGAAATTTATATCAAACAACAAATAGGCATTGGGCAAAGGTATATTCTTTTTATTCTGGTGAGTATACATACAGCTGATCAACACCTATAACATAAAATCAAATAATATTAATTTATGAATAGGAAAGGCAGATAGTCAGGGTTTTAGTGGACAAAAGAGTTCATATTAAGAGAAACCAGAGCAACCAGGGTTCCAGAATGGAGAAAAATTCGAATAAAATTACTGAAAAACTGAGACCCCGGAAAAGAAACTTAGATAAAAATGCTGAAACACAGAGACATCTGAACTTCAGAATACATACATGTGTGATCAAAGCAGTAATGAAAATAAAAAACTAAATACGACCAAAAACTGTAAAAGATGAATATTAGTACAACATAGGTGATGTTTTGGTTATAATTCGTCCTCCACATCCTGTAGGAAGAAAGTATCAAATAGATATCCCAGTGTGGAAGGAGGCTGTATGTAAAACAACAAACAAAATGAGATGTCCTTTGTGTTATCTTTTGTCTTTGGTGTTACAACTTCTTTTTGGATATACAAATACTTGTACATGTACTGATCAGTGATTCTAGGTCCTATGATAGTAATCCTTCATTATTCATGCATAACTTATTTTTATATTTTGTTGATGTTCACGTATCTTTATAATTAGACAATTATGTCTATGTTGTTACTTTTTTTATCATTGGTGTTACTTGTCAGACTCCAAATGTAAAAAGAAATGAAATCCCAAGAAATATTTTTCTTAAAACAATATACTTTCATTAACATCTATAAGATAATGCCATTGTTGTGCTTTTTGCTGGGGAAGGGGAACAAATTTATTATTTCTTCTTAAGGTTTGAACAAAATGTCTTTTGTGTTACTTTTATGTCCTTTGTGTTATGAAAATATCCTTGGTGTTACTAAACCATTTTTCCTAAATTTATACTCTAAATCTTTCCACAATTTTATCAAAACTTGCTACACAATCCTGTTGTCTTCTAATACAAAGTATATCCGCAAAGCCAGTAGTTCATGCTGAGGTAAAATGACATATGCTTAAGGTATATTTGTTAGAATAATCAAATTTTATAATTTTAACAACTTTCAGCTTTATGTCATCTGAAATTTCTCTCTTAAGAACCCTCAATTTGTTTTGATAGAATATTTTTTATTAGGATGTTTAGATTATGATTCTAGAAACCTTAAATTTTTGTAAATTATTATTTTATTGCGACTTCTAAGTAAGTAACACCATGGACATTTATTGTTGAATGCATGTACTTATAATAGATTTTATAATAAATGTTGATAGAATTCTTAGTGTTTCAACATTATTTACGCATCTCTGATGTTTCATTACTAACATAAAACTTTAAAATATTTAGTTCTCAGAATTAATTTTCTCTAAATTCTGTTGATGGAATCTGGACAAAATTTGAGAATGACCCTTATACTTCCTTTACAAGTCAGGTGTACTTTTCAGCTTATTTTGGAAGAAGTTTTCACTGCTTATTACTATTGGTCAGTTGAATCTTTTGCAAGAATCGGTTGCCAATTTCAAATAAATTTTCTACTGTGTTTTTAATTAACCACTGTTTCGATGTCTGTTTTGGGATATGACATCTATTATTAGCTCACCTGAGCCAAAGGCTCAAGTGAGCTTTTCTGATCAAAATTTGTCCGTTGTCTGTCGTCGTTGTTGTCGTTG